AAAAAAAAATTTGAATAAAACGAGGCTGAATTTATCACAAATTACACTTGATATATTGTAATATTTTTAAATAAATAAATAATTAATTTTTTGTGATTTTTTAATCAAATTATTAATCGATTTTATTTTACATTAAATATTTATTCAGCATTTGTAATTGGTTTATTTATAGTTTTAAAAAATATCAAAATAGCGTTGACGTCACGAGAAACGATTTCAGTAGGATTTAATTAACCGAAAATGGACTATCGAAAATTCTTGTCATCATCAATAGCTGTTAAATCTTCAGTGGCTTTGTGAATAGACTTCTAGAAAATCAATTCTTATTGTATATAAAATGCTTTCTCTGCTATTCAAATTAAAATGCTAATTTATTTTTGCCCAATGGGAAATTTAATATTTAACAGTTCGTCCTTCCTATTCGGGAAGTTATTAAAATTGTTTTGCGTAAAAATATGTTCATTTTAAAGAATAAACATATTTTTTCATGAATTTTTGAACATCGAAATGTAAAAAGATAAAATAAAATATCGAAATGGAAACAAATTTGCGTAAAATGTTATTTAAAATGAAAATTTGAATTAATTTCGAGAATGGAATAATATTATTTAAATAACACGTAAATTTCTATACAAATATTTAGAATAATGCTTTATTTATAAGGTTGTTCTTCATAATCGCTGTTTCAATTTGGTAAACACTAGTTTGTGTTCTTGGTAATGGTTGCAAGCGCGTCCAATGAGAAGTGTCGAATAAATCGATTATGACGCCATTGCTCTAATGAGATTGGTTTATATTTTACATGCCACAGGCTACCTGTGCAGTCGTGAAAGCAATATCACCTTACGCAACATGTAACAGTAACTGTTGCGATTGCCGAAGTTGCTAGAAAGTGCAACCGTATAAACATACAGCCGACACTTGGGATACGTTAATGGCTATTTCAACTTGGAACTTTAATTATAAAGACCCTGTATATAGTTTTGCTTGCGTCTAAACGTTTATCACGAGTAGAAAGAAGATGGCAAAACATACATATTACTATCTCGACTCTATTATACATAACAGAAGAAAAATATGAGAACAATTTTACATTTTTGGACATTGGGGACTTTAAAACGTCGAGAAGTGTAAAATACAGTATTCGGAGATCTTTGGATTTGTGTGGCGCACGATTTTGTTTACCCTATTTGAAACTTAATAATTCCAGTAACTTTTGTCGAAAATTTAACAACATCGATATCCCTAATGTGCAAGCATATCAGGGAGATTGACAGCTGCGTACCCAGGATCTGAACTAGAGGGGGGCAAATTGAATAATGAATATTGTGACTAGACTAGAGCCATCTGTGATGAAGTCTCAATCTCCCTACCCACTTCCTCGAAACTAATATGAACTGATACTAAATTGATACGTCTATGCAATGCAGAGCCGGCCCTACCATAGGGCGAAAAGAGCAGCCGCTCCAGGCGCTAAGTCCTAGGGGGCGCCTCAGTGGGAAAGAAAATTAAAGGGTATAAATTTGGGGGCAACCAAGGGAAGTGGCGTAGTGAGGGGGTGCATCAAGCACCGGGCGCCACTCGCAGAGGGGCGCCCAAATGGTCTCCAAGACAAACTATATGTGTTTCTGGAGGGGGCGCCAATAAAGTGCTGTGCCCCGTGCGCCAGTTATGTTCGCTACGCTACTGACCAAGGGGGCGCCATAATAGGATCTCGCTCCATCCTAAAACTTGCCTCGGGCCGGCACTGATGCTATGTGTCTGTGTGTCAATTACTACACTTTTATTTTTTTCTAGGGAGGAGCAACTGTCCTCTTTGTCCCTCGTTGGGTACGCCCTTGGAGATTGGAGATTGATGCTATTAAATTTTAGTAGTTAAAGATCGAGGGGGTCGCGGAACATATCTCGGGTCGGACTTAATCTTTTAACTAAACGAACTTTTCAAGTCTCCAAAAGTAAAACGTATCTTTTTAGCTGTTAAATAACTTCATTAGTATGATGAATTATAATGTCTGATTTTAGGTCTGCAGGAATGCCACTTCTGTCTTTACAAGTTTTGATAAAGAACATGCTGTCATGGAAGTAAACAAGGATGTGGAATTTATTGTAAAATTAATCAATCTGCTTCACATGTTTTGTTTTCGATATTACTTACCTCTAATTGTAAAAAAATGTAAAAAAAAACTTGCTCGAAAAATTTCCCATTCCTTTCTAAAAAAACTGGAAGTAGGTATGTAAATTACTAAAAATTTTAAAAAAATTATAACGAAAATAAAAATAAAACTAAAGCACTGTAATATCTTTTTCACCGTGTCTTTTCTTAAATATATAGCAGGACAAATAAGTTACTGCTTAAACTGAGAAAAATCATCCACTAGTTAGTTATACGTTCTTTCCAATCTTTAACTTCAAAATCTATTTTTCTTAATTTGCTTTCTACCTAAAACTTGTAAGAGAAAATTTTTTGTTCATTATATTAATCTCCTTGTTTATATTTGCACTTTTATACTTACATTAAACATTGATTCGATATTGCTCTGGGCAATATCGAATCAATGTTTAATGTGAAGTTTAAAAGATATCCACACGCGTTTTCCTCGATTCGTAGCCATATTGTTTACATTTCGCTAGCGCCACAACTGCAACAAAATGGCTGAGGACCCAGGATCAAATCCAGACGGGTCGAAAAATCCCCAAGAATTTTTCGAAAGGATTCATCTGGATATTTAGGGCCCCGTCCCTCACCACCCGGCAACCGCATTGTGGGCCTGGCCGAACCCATAATGGGCTTGTTGAAAGATGTCCTCTTAGTGCCCATAGGGCCGAAAGAAGAATAATAATAATAAACTGCCACAAATTGCGGTGGCAGTCATGGAAAAGTATACACTTGACCCACTTTTAGTCTGAATTCTAACCGCAGCGTTCCTAGTGAGCATAAATGACTGTAGGCATAAAATTCTGCTCGGCTCTCCAATCAGTATATTTAGTAACCATGGTTATATTTAGTGGCTTTAGAAAATAATCATAAAATTGAATAAGCCGGTTAGCATGTAATATTATTTAATCGCATACGTTGTAATTAAGTATTACATTATTCGACGATGATTTTAAAACTTTTATTTACACGTCTAATTGAAACATATTGGCTGTGTCGCTAGTAGTAAATAGAAGACAACGCTTGAAAATGGAATACGAAACTTTATCGTTTTTGGTATAGAGAGAAGTTATTTTAGACTTTATGATAGCAATAGTAGCAGCGAATGGAAATATTTCATTATCATCATCACTTTTACTATTCGTCTGTATTAATTCAAAGTTATTTTGACAAAATAAGCCATGTTTGACGAATTCCAACATGGCGCTGTTTGTTTCCGCCATGTTGTCGGTTGCCAGACGATCCTGTAAAAGCTCGTTAAGCAATGACTTTACTTTCAAATTTCGTTAAAATTTCTTTCTCCATAATATTGAGCATAATATTTAAATTAAATAATTAGCTAAATGTTGCTACAAAATTAGTTTACGGATTAAAATTTTTGTTCCAAATTCTACTTAAATTTTAAATTCGACATTTTTTAAACCGATGAAAAAGAAGGAACTACTTATTTATGAATATAAAATGTATGCTTATGCATTAATAATATATTTATGTACAGTTTATAAATGCTACTTTTGTATGATGCCCAGCAATTAATGTACTGTACAGTACTCATTTGTAATGAGGATGGTCGAAACAAATATTCATCGGATATTTTAAAACCCTGAAGTAATTTTACTACGTCAGTTTCTACGTCACGAGAAAACGCAAGAATGTGGGCAACAATAGATTTTTCAATTGTTACGCTTGCTTTGTTGAGTGGTATTTTCGAAGGCAAAAGAAGTTTTCGAGATTTTTTGCTTCATTTCTTGAGGAAAATTGCTTTGAATATAAATGTGAGTACTATTTTGATACACTATAAAATATACTGTACAAATATTTTTATAAAAATAGAATTACAGATGTAGAAACTTGTCGTTAGGTTCTTAATTAAAGTTCTTACACTTAACTAACGGCAAAGAACTAAAATAAGAAAGTTAATTTTAAGATAAATTTCCATATTTTAAACTGATTTGGAGTAGAATGTATTTTATTATGATATCTAAAGTAAATAATAATGAACATAAATCTGTGAAAAATATTCGCTTGATTATATGACCCAAATAATTTACGAGTTGTTTTTTTAGATGACGATGGATAAGTTTGTGGAAGATGCACATATGAATGCAGAGGTGGATACAGATGTAGCGTTGGAGTTGTCTGAGGAACAATTTGATCCTCCCGGTCTCGGCAAGATATTCCCAACAGATTATGATGATCGAGACGATTTCTTCAGTTGGGAGTTGGAAATTTATAGAGAAACAAATTATTTGGAAATTGTTCTCGATCTTGCCGAGGATTGTTTTGGCTACAACGATTCTAATTCGCAACTGGTTGATGGAAAGGATGTTTACTGTCGTTGCGATGAGTACGAAAATCGTTATGAATCGCGTGCTCGGAAAGTTGAGCTGCAAGCTCTCAACCATTATCTCAACAGGTAAGATTAATAAATATAAAAATCCTACGTATATACGTATTTGATAGGTATTTTTATCTCATTTCCTGTTATTGTTTCTAGAAATTCACAGTTGTTGTGTGAGGAGCATTTTGATCCTTTTGCCCTCAGTATGAAATTAGAAACAGATAATGACGATTGGAATGATTTCTTCGATTGGAACTTTAAAAATTACCAAGAAACAGATTATTTGGAAATCGTTCTCGATATTACTGAGGATTGTTTCAACGACAACGATTGTAATTTGCAACAGGTTTCTAAAACCGATGTTTGCTTTCCTAACGATGGAAACGAGAATAATCTTATAACCTGTGATGAGAAAGTTGAGCAGGAAGTTATTGAAGATCGTTTCAATAGGTATGGTTTTTATATTTATTTAATACGTATTTTTATCTCATGTTTTGTATTGTTTTTATATTACGGAAATGAAATAATTTTAATAATGTATTATAGAAAAACAAAAGATATTATTTATTATTAAAATGAATAATATTCACTANCCTCAGAAATTTCAATATTTTTTGTCAACTTAGTTGTACTTGTTGAAGGAATGAACTGTTTAAAAAGTTTTAAGTTATTTAAATTTTAAAAAACCTTAAGTCTATATATTTGTAAATGCATAGAACAATATCTAACCTTAGAAATCCTAGCACTTTTTCTACTTCTACTTGCTGAAGAATCAGGTTGTTTTGATAACTATTAAAAACAAAAATAAACTTCATAATTGTAAATTTTGATAAAAATATTTATTTATTACATAGAAATACAATTAATACTTTATAAAAAGCACCTTTTCCATCAGATTAATATTTAAATCTTACTCTATAATATTAAATTCCATTTATTTATTTGAATTCAACATATTGAGTGATTTATTAGTAATAAAATGCATCAGTTGAATCATTTAATTTTAGTTTATATCCATTTCATTCAAAATTAATGCATGTTCACTAAAATTGAATGCTACATTTTTAGTTCTGAACTCATTCATACACATGAAAAATACTTCAAAGAAATTTTTTTTTCACTTTACTTGTATGCAATTATTTAACTAAATTGAAAAAATAGTATTTATTAAATTCACATAATTTAATAAATACTCAGTACAGCTTTAACTAATTGATTTATTTTTATTACATCATCATCATAAAGAAAATAATAATTTATCATTTTTATACCTTTATTTCCTGACTATTTTTCTCTTTTTCAGATATTTTGGATACTTTCTTAGTTGCAGAGGAGTCAGTATCTTTAGATAACTTAAAATGAAAAAGTCAATCATGACATTTATTAGAAACTTATTATAACAATTCTTTGTTATTAATGTATAAAAGTCCATATTCAACATAGTATCAATAGATAAAATATAATTTCATTTTGTTTAAATAAATATTTCCTTAAAATTATAATGTAAAATACTATAAATTTTGTTAAGTAAAATTCTCGGTGAATAGTAATTTTATGTTCAAAATTAAAATTAAGAAATTTGTTGCAACTTTTGATAAGTCAGAGATGTTTTTCAATATTAGGGATGGGGAATGGTAGTCTCACCCCACAATATACATCATTACAGTGACTTTACAAATATACATCATGACTAAATTCTATATTTGATTACATTTGTAGGGTTTTAGGATTTGGAAGATGGTGGGGTGGGACAACCCCCTAAGACATCATTAAAATGAATTTTCATCAAAGTTAGTTATGTCCTGAAAGTTTCAGCCTTCTATCTTCATTAAAAGTGGATGAAACTTGAGTTAAAAGATTTGTGGACAAAGTGAAGTACAAATACAAAGCAAGTGAAATAAAAGTATTTAACTGAAAATATGTGGTCATTGATTTTTATCTATGAATATAAAATGTAACAAATTTAAATTTATAAAAGAGTTTTATTAAAGAATAAAAATTTCAAAGCATTGTATAATTCTGACATAACTAAAAATTTGTTTATTATGCAAAAGTTAATATTTCGACAAAATTTTTAAATTCTGATTGAAATTTTGATAAGAAATATAAAATATATTTCTTAATGGTTAAATTTTTTAGTTATCATGCGCATTCTATGGAGCATATTTCTGGATATTTAAGCTTTGAGCTTATGGATCATGACATTTCAATATTAAAAAAAGTTTTTAATATAAAATTATCAAAATCTATCATTTTAATATTACAACACAAATAAATTAATATATAATAAAATATAAATGTACTGTATGTAGATAATGTGTTCAATATTACTTTTATTTCTTAAACTTTTTAATAGAAATTACTTTCCTATTTACTATCTTTAATATTATTTAATTATATAAAATGATTTATATTGCTTACCTGTCTTTTTATAGTATCCAATGAAGATTTTTTTATTTGTATATCACTGTTTTCTTGGCTATCCTGTTCTAAGGAAGTAAATGCTTTTGAAATATTATTTAAATATTCTTTAATAGATACCAAACTTTCTTTTTGGTCATTCTGAAGCTTAAGCATTTTAATCTCTTGTTCAGAATTTTTCCTATTAACAGTTTTTGCTCCCTCACTAATATCATTAATTTGTTCTATTAATGATGTCAAATTATTTTTTAATTGTTCACAATATTTTTGAAGTATATGCTTTTTACAAAGACTAAGTGTTTTATTACTGAGATCCAAACTATTATTACAGAGTTCCTTTTGTAATTCTACCTGTTCAATACACTTTATAAGCTGTTCTTTAATAATTTTCATTTCTTCAGGAAGAGGAATTGTAAACTGATTTAGAATTTCTTTTAATTTGTTAATTTCATCTAATAAATAAGTTTGTTGATTATGTCCTTGTAATTCATGTTTTACAGCTGACAATTCTTCCATAAGAGAAGCTTTTTCTCTTTGTTTTTTAATATTTATTTTAATATTATTAATTTCATCAATTAACTGTGCTCTCTCAAGGGACCAATCTGTCTCAGTATTCCAAACTGACTTCCTGAAGTTGACGTAATCACGTGTCGTTAATTGTAATAATTCGGTTGTTTGTTTCAATCTATATTTCAAAATTATTATTAATTAAAAAAAAAATATATAACAACATAATACAATACAAACCACAGACCTATCAGTAAGATATTTAATATGTTCAGAATCTCTCAATCTTTGAACTTCTGCTTCTTGTTTTATAATATTACAATCATTTGTTAGTGCATCTACTTGTTCATGAAAAAGAGCTTCTCTTTCTTCTAATTGTACTCGAAGAGCTTCAATCTGAATGAAAATGAAATTAATAATGTAATTTGTAAGTATAAATAAGTATAATCAAATAAATTTTGTTAAAAAATGGTATTAAAACATATAATTCAAAAAGTACAGTCAAATCTTGATATAGTATTCTCCTAAGTAGCACTGCCTTCAAAGTACCAATGAATATTTGCAAACACAATCATCTCCATATATATTAAAAAGAGAATTCTTCAGCTCAATTTTGTATTGTAAATGACAACAAATTATGCATGTGGCTTATAGACTTTGTGTCTATTAATTAAATTAAAATTTGTGTGTAGAGCTCATTATTACATATAAATCTTAATGTTTGCAGTCTTTCAATTTAGCACCGTACTCAATTTAGTGTCAGTTTCAGAGACAAACAATTAATGACACTAAATCAGAATTTGACTATGTTTAAACCTCTTTTATTGAGTAATAGCTCCATGGAGTATGTTGTTATATTAATTAGGATTAAAGATATCCTAATGGCATTAAATTATAGATGATTGGATCTTAAAAGTCAAAAATTATATATCTATTCTTCATAATTTATTTTAGATCCAAAAATATTCATTAATTAAAGATATACAACAAAGACACATTCTTTCAAAAATTCTGTGAAACTAGTCAATAAAATGCTAGTTCTCTATATTTCGATACAAATTATTATTTTATTTAAAAATAATCTGTGCAAAAATGTCTTTCCTGATATTAAGAGGTGACATTTTAATTTCTTGCTATTTGATTATTTGTTATCATAATTTTCACTTTTATTTTTAAAAACCACACCAAAAGAAAATATGAAAAGTTATAAATCATTACAGTTTATAATTTATACTGTAACATAATTATTGTTTTAGACTAGCAACTCATAATTTGAAGAAAATTCATCAAATCAGCATATGCTTTAAGGTTTAGAGATAAAATTTAAATAATATTTGAGTTACATAAAATACATATATACAGAAGAATCTACTTATTGTAATCAAAGACAGTATTATAAGTGGTTAATATAATCATTATTAGTAAGTCCCAAAACACTTATAAAACTTGCTTATTGGAATCAGATTATCATTATCTTAAAGTGAATAGACATTTTTTTAAATGTCTTTTTGCATTATCAGTCTAAAGATAAATAATAATGATTATATATTATCAGCTGTATCATTCATAACTAACATAACATGTTCAATATTTAAAGTATCAGTCATAACTAATACTTTAAATGTTGAACGTGTAATATTTTCATTATTTTTTGTTCACAGTACATCAGTAGTTTAAATTTCTGCTTTTTTTTCAATTATATACTAGCTGTTAAATATGGTATTGCAAAAAAACAGCAGGCAAACGAACTTGGATGAATTACTATTAATTCATTAATTATAATTATACTAATAATAATTAATAAATCTTCAAATATGTATATATATTTTTTAAATTCTTTTTTTAACCTATCTTTTTAATGTCAGAATTTCCATTAAGTGTAGTTTTATTCATTTACTCCACTTAATGTTATCAGTTAGTTATTATTGTTCTCAGTATAGGAAAGTTCCAAAGTAATTACGGTTAACAGATGCTATTATAACTGTAAATAGAATTATTTCCTATATTACATTCATCATTTTTGATAAATATTCTTCCTGAATATTAAGCCAAATCTTGAAATTCCTACAGAAAATCAAAATTATTAGCTTAGAAATTAAAATGTTGATATTCTTTTGTTCTATATATACACAGTAAGTTTAAAAATTATACACTTTTGCTAATGAGTTATCATAAAAATATTTTTTATGCTACCTTAAAAAATATGAATATCAAAATACAAGCAGATATGCTGATTGAACCTTACAACTTCACTTGATCATTTCATTATCATCAACCAATATAAATTTGGCATAAACCAAAAATTTTGCTTCTAGAAAGAATAGAAAGTATTCAAGTATACTTTCTATTCTTTCTAGAAGCAAAATTTTTGGTTTATGCCAAATTTATATTGGTTGATGATAATGAAATGATCAAGTGAAGTTGTAAGGTTCAATCAGCATATCTGCTTGTATTTTGATATTCATATTTTTTAAGGTAGCATAAAAAATATTTTTATGATAACTCATTAGCAAAAGTGTATAATTTTTAAACTTACTGTGTATATATAGAACAAAAGAATATCAACATTTTAATTTCTAAGCTAATAATTTTGATTTTCTGTAGGAATTTCAAGATTTGGCTTAATATTCAGGAAGAATATTTATCAAAAATGATGAATGTAATATAGGAAATAATTCTATTTACAGTTATAATAGCATCTGTTAACCGTAATTACTTTGGAACTTTCCTATACTGAGAACAATAATAACTAACTGATAACATTAAGTGGAGTAAATGAATAAAACTACACTTAATGGAAATTCTGACATTAAAAAGATAGGTTAAAAAAAGAATTTAAAAAATATATATACATATTTGAAGATTTATTAATTATTATTAGTATAATTATAATTAATGAATTAATAGTAATTCATCCAAGTTCGTTTGCCTGCTGTTTTTTTGCAATACCATATTTAACAGCTAGTATATAATTGAAAAAAAAGCAGAAATTTAAACTACTGATGTACTGTGAACAAAAAATAATGAAAATATTACACGTTCAACATTTAAAGTATTAGTTATGACTGATACTTTAAATATTGAACATGTTATGTTAGTTATGAATGATACAGCTGATAATATATAATCATTATTATTTATCTTTAGACTGATAATGCAAAAAGACATTTAAAAAAATGTCTATTCACTTTAAGATAATGATAATCTGATTCCAATAAGCAAGTTTTATAAGTGTTTTGGGACTTACTAATAATGATTATATTAACCACTTATAATACTGTCTTTGATTACAATAAGTAGATTCTTCTGTATATATGTATTTTATGTAACTCAAATATTATTTAAATTTTATCTCTAAACCTTAAAGCATATGCTGATTTGATGAATTTTCTTCAAATTATGAGTTGCTAGTCTAAAACAATAATTATGTTACAGTATAAATTATAAACTGTAATGATTTATAACTTTTCATATTTTCTTTTGGTGTGGTTTTTAAAAATAAAAGTGAAAATTATGATAACAAATAATCAAATAGCAAGAAATTAAAATGTCACCTCTTAATATCAGGAAAGACATTTTTGCACAGATTATTTTTAAATAAAATAATAATTTGTATCGAAATATAGAGAACTAGCATTTTATTGACTAGTTTCACAGAATTTTTGAAAGAATGTGTCTTTGTTGTATATCTTTAATTAATGAATATTTTTGGATCTAAAATAAATTATGAAGAATAGATATATAATTTTTGACTTTTAAGATCCAATCATCTATAATTTAATGCCATTAGGATATCTTTAATCCTAATTAATATAACAACATACTCCATGGAGCTATTACTCAATAAAAGAGGTTTAAACATAGTCAAATTCTGATTTAGTGTCATTAATTGTTTGTCTCTGAAACTGACACTAAATTGAGTACGGTGCTAAATTGAAAGACTGCAAACATTAAGATTTATATGTAATAATGAGCTCTACACACAAATTTTAATTTAATTAATAGACACAAAGTCTATAAGCCACATGCATAATTTGTTGTCATTTACAATACAAAATTGAGCTGAAGAATTCTCTTTTTAATATATATGGAGATGATTGTGTTTGCAAATATTCATTGGTACTTTGAAGGCAGTGCTACTTAGGAGAATACTATATCAAGATTTGACTGTACTTTTTGAATTATATGTTTTAATACCATTTTTTAACAAAATTTATTTGATTATACTTATTTATACTTACAAATTACATTATTAATTTCATTTTCATTCAGATTGAAGCTCTTCGAGTACAATTAGAAGAAAGAGAAGCTCTTTTTCATGAACAAGTAGATGCACTAACAAATGATTGTAATATTATAAAACAAGAAGCAGAAGTTCAAAGATTGAGAGATTCTGAACATATTAAATATCTTACTGATAGGTCTGTGGTTTGTATTGTATTATGTTGTTATATATTTTTTTTTTAATTAATAATAATTTTGAAATATAGATTGAAACAAACAACCGAATTATTACAATTAACGACACGTGATTACGTCAACTTCAGGAAGTCAGTTTGGAATACTGAGACAGATTGGTCCCTTGAGAGAGCACAGTTAATTGATGAAATTAATAATATTAAAATAAATATTAAAAAACAAAGAGAAAAAGCTTCTCTTATGGAAGAATTGTCAGCTGTAAAACATGAATTACAAGGACATAATCAACAAACTTATTTATTAGATGAAATTAACAAATTAAAAGAAATTCTAAATCAGTTTACAATTCCTCTTCCTGAAGAAATGAAAATTATTAAAGAACAGCTTATAAAGTGTATTGAACAGGTAGAATTACAAAAGGAACTCTGTAATAATAGTTTGGATCTCAGTAATAAAACACTTAGTCTTTGTAAAAAGCATATACTTCAAAAATATTGTGAACAATTAAAAAATAATTTGACATCATTAATAGAACAAATTAATGATATTAGTGAGGGAGCAAAAACTGTTAATAGGAAAAATTCTGAACAAGAGATTAAAATGCTTAAGCTTCAGAATGACCAAAAAGAAAGTTTGGTATCTATTAAAGAATATTTAAATAATATTTCAAAAGCATTTACTTCCTTAGAACAGGATAGCCAAGAAAACAGTGATATACAAATAAAAAAATCTTCATTGGATACTATAAAAAGACAGGTAAGCAATATAAATCATTTTATATAATTAAATAATATTAAAGATAGTAAATAGGAAAGTAATTTCTATTAAAAAGTTTAAGAAATAAAAGTAATATTGAACACATTATCTACATACAGTACATTTATATTTTATTATATATTAATTTATTTGTGTTGTAATATTAAAATGATAGATTTTGATAATTTTATATTAAAAACTTTTTTTAATATTGAAATGTCATGATCCATAAGCTCAAAGCTTAAATATCCAGAAATATGCTCCATAGAATGCGCATGATAACTAAAAAA